CCACATACACACTACATACACAGACACACACACCACACACACCACAGACACACACTGCACACACGACACATACCACACACACTGCACACATACACCACACATACCACAGACACACACTGCACACACGACACATACCACACACACCCCACATACACAACACACACACAGTACACACACATACCTACATACACCACACACTACACTCACACCACACACAGACACACCACACACACACACACACACAGACACACACACAGACACACACATAAGGATACCAGATCCCCTGGAGCTATAATTGGTTGAGAGTTGCCCAGTATGGGTGCTGGGAACCAAATTCGAGTCCTCTGGTAAAGGAACAAGTACTCTTAGCCACCGAGCCATCTATCCAGCATCTGTCTCTCCTTCCTTCTAGTAGGCTGGCCCTGAACTCAGAGTTCCACCTGCCTCTGCCTCATGAGTGCTGGTATTAAAGGCTCGAGCCACCACTGCCCAGCTAGCACCTCCTTTTTGCATTTTTAAATTAAAGAGTAAATACCTGCCACCCACACCAACCAGTAGTTGCCCCTTGAGCAGATTAGGATGAGAATTCAGTGAGCCTGGCTTCTTGAGAGAGGAACGGAATCTCACTTCGTGGGTTTCCACCCAGGTCACACCCAGTGCTCACACTTCCGGTAAGTTTTCCTTATCAGCATCGTCCCCTCCCCCCAAGTCAGTTTGTGCTGGGGTGTGGACTACACAGCACCTGTCCCTTAGAGCCCCAGAGTGCTCAGCCATGTGGTAACTGTCAGTCTTAATGGAGGAAGGCAGAAGCTGTCATCAGTCAAAACAAAGAACAAAACCAGACACATCACTCGGACCCAGGACTCTCTTGGAAGAGCAGAACTAGAAGGTGTAGGTCACCTTGAGCTTCTTGAGGCCCTCCTGTGTGGTTATATCTGGACTGTGAAAGTGTGTGAGGTTCTGAGCATCCTCTGCCGCCCATGCCTGCTCTTCAGGGTAGTGATGGCTTTTTGCCTGTGCGTGTCTCTCTGTTACAGACGGATGCATTCCAGAAGCCCGTTCCATTGGAGCAGCACCCCGACTATGCAGAATATATTTTCCACCCCATGGACCTTTGTACATTGGAAAAGGTTGGCTTCTACCACAGAGCCTGGCCGTAGTAGCACAGGTGTCGAGATAGCCCAGGCTCTCCCTTTCCTTCCCCTGCCCTAGGTCCAGGTGGATCAGATAGAGCTCTCAGTCTTTCCATGCCCTTTCTCTGTGACCTCCTCCTGGGGGTGGGGAGGGGAGGGGGAGGGTTGTCTCAGGGGATTGTTGAAATTCTGGACATTGTTCTTGAGGGATATCCTAGCTTCTGAGAATTAGTGATTTGATTGATTGCCATCTCACTTCCTCCTGAGGTGTTAATGAGAGCATCAGGAAGGAGGTAGAGAAAATGACATGTTTGGAAACCTCCAGATTAGCAGTAAAGGGACTTCTTAGACCTGACCATCGGGCTGTTTCTTGAATGCCCTAAGGTGGTTTTAAGAGTCTGTGCTAAAATTCTGTGATGAATATTCACACTTAAAACACTTTGAGCACATCTTTCTGTGCAGATCTTCCAATGCAGGAGCTAAATGTGTGTTTGAAATACATCTGTGGAGAGCTGGAGCTGGCCTGGCCTGGCTTGTGCAGGGCCCTGTCTGTGATTCCTGATTCTGAAAGAAAACAAAAGCCTCCATAAAGAGGACCACGATGTCATGATGTCTGCATTGCTAATCCCCTCCCAAAGCTGAAGATCAAGTCTACTTTGGAAAATTGCCCAGACCTTTTGATATGCAGGAAAGAAAAAGCAATTGCCCAGACCTTTTGATATGCAGGAAAGAAAAAGCATTAAATAAATAAACACAGGGTTGGAGTCTAGCTTCAGGCCGGGGTGAGGTGTCTTCACAGTGGCCTTCCTCAGTTTCTCCTGTCAAACTCCACTGGCTTTTGTGATGCCTGTGATGCCATAGTGCCTTTATTATTAGGTAGCGCTATCCTGCTATATGAAATGCGCCCTTCATTGGATGAAGTTGCTGGATGAATGACAGCATTTTCAAGATGAGAATGCTCAAATCCCTGTGATGACTCCGGGCGCATTTTATAGGGCCGTAGATCTTAAACCTAATAGCATCCTGAGAGAGGAATCAGAGAGTGCCGATTAATCCGGCAGATGGCTTCTCTGAAAGGTGCAGGGACCCAGGTGTTAGCCCTGCTGCCACCTATATAGACTTTGATGGTCACAATGTCCTCTGGCTTCTCCTCCCAGAATGCAAAGAAGAAGATGTATGGCTGCACGGAAGCTTTCCTGGCTGACGCCAAGTGGATCCTGCACAACTGCATTATCTATAATGGGGGTGAGTAGCTTGGAGGTTCCCAAGGGGGGGTGTGCTTCAAACATGGCAGTCTCCTGCCCTTTGTTAAGACGTAGGTCGGATGGGCTGGGAAGACAAACGGCTCTGCAGTGGCAGCACCTGCTGCTCTTCCAGACAATCTGGGTTTGGTTCCCAGGACCCATGTTGGGCTTTTCAGAACTGTGCTGTAACTCCTGGACCCTCAGAGTGGATCCGTCAACTCTTCTGTCACCTGAAGCTACATTTTGCCTGCCTCTCCCATACATATAATGTAAAAGATCTGAATGATAAAGCCAGGCTTAGGTGGCTGGGAAGATCTGAGTTGCCATGTCCCCAGCCTGTGTAAAAGTCAGGTGTCACAGGACCTGTCTGGCATGCCGGCCCTGGGAAGGTAGAGGCAGGGGAGTGTTCACGTCCGTCCAGTGAGTGAGCTGCAGGCTGAGTGAGCTGCAGGCTCAGTGAGGGGACTCTGCCTCAAAACCCTTGGAGAGCGAACCGGGGACACACCTAATAGAGAGCTCTGGTTATTACATCATACACCCGGGGAACAGGTCAGGTGGAGGCCAGGGTGGCCAGAGCGGCATGGGCTGCACAGAGGACAGGAGATTCCCACAGGTCTGCAGAGGCCACCATTACAAGTTCCTTCCTGTGCATTGTTTATTTAGCTGTCATAGCTATGTGTTACGTGTAGGTATGGATGGGTGCATATTCCTGTGGGTATATGCACGTGGTGGGGCGAGTATGCTCATGTGTGGTGTGTGTGTGTGTGTGTGTGTGCGCACGCACACACGCCCATGTGAGAGGCTTGAGGTCCATCTCAGAAACCATCCACCATGGTTTCTGGTTGCTCAGGCATGGCCTGTTAGGCTAGAATGGTTGGCCCTTGTCCTTACCCTTTCGAGGCACTTGACTGAAGGAGCCATCTCCTCAGCCCAGCAAAATGACTGTTTCTGAAAATGTCTCTTAGGACCAAAATGACCATAGCCCTTTGGCCTTCCTGACCGCTGCATTGGTGCAAAGGGAGAAAGGCTTGGCGTAGGGTCTTTGGCAGGTGCTCGGCTCATTAGCTGAGAGTTCTGGGGGAGGCAGGGACTCCGGATTTCAACTCAGTAGTGAAGCACATGAGAATCCTCTCACCTGTTTTTCTGTACAGTTTCTGGTGGAATCTTAGGGGGCACCAGTCACCCCATTTCTTCCTGGTGTGGTGTTCTGGAATTACAGGGTTAAGTAAGGCTCCTTTCTGCTAATTATAGCGTTTAGGATGTCAGAGTACTTGAAGTGACTTATCTAGGGAATTCCACACCAGCTACTCAGTTGCAAGACCTTGGCAAAGCCTGGTCCTTGATAGACAAGTTTTAACCTTTAAATGGTGAATCTTGGGAGTTGGGGGGGGGGGACAAGCTAAAAAACTGCTAATGTGTG